GATTGAGGCTTTGTGATTAACACTGCACAGTTATTTTGCATGAACGATCGCATTTGATACCTGATTAATTTGCTGGAACGTCAGTCAGTCATTTTGGAGTTGACGGCCTCTGCCGACTTTGAAAAACAAAATCCAAAACAAAACATAATTTTATTGAATTCTACATTTTATAACCTTTCTGTTGATATATAGTTTGTGGGGGTTTCCTTGAAAACAGCGCGCATACAAATTTTTTTCTGGAGAACACCCGCGAAGGTTTGAAGTAACCTTAAGGTCAGCACACACGAGGGGACTAGTCCCTGCAACTAGTTCCCTGAAGAGTTTACACGAAGGGACTGGTCGCAGGGACTTGTCCCATGAACAGTTCGCATGAAGCTTTTTGAGGAACAAGTTGCAGGGACTTGTCCCAAAAATTCAAACCAGTTTGAATTTGTGGGACTAAATTTGGTCCCTTCGACTAGATTTTGTGGCAAAAATGGCTAGTTCACATGATGGGACTTGTCCCTGTGACTTGTTGCAGGGACTAGTCACAGGGACAAGTCCCCTTGTGTGTGCCAACCTTAAATTATAGTACGACTGAACAAATTGTGTTTCATGTACATGAAACGTGCGACAAGTTAAGAACATTAAAGCATAAAATGAATTGACTATCGTTTACAAACTACAAAATAAGGCAAAGCGTATGACTTAAATTATTGATGTATTCCTTTCCAGAAAGAAAAATTTAAGCGATATTTGGCAAACAACTGTTTTAAAAAACAGGTTGCGTGACAGCTTTACTTTCCGGCTTTAACTATTTGCGTAAAGTAATTCAATATGTTGTTTTGACTATGCATAAATAAAAACTTCGGCTGGATTTTTTAAAAGAGCTTAAATTTCCAGTACTTTCTTAGATTCTCATATGAAAACTTCTTTGAATGAAGAAAAAGTCAGCTGCTATGGCATCTGGGAGTGAAGCGCTTCTAAGTCAGGTGTTAGTTCAAACTCATTGTCAACATGACATGAATTTACGTCTAGAACTTTCCACAGTCATTTTTTTGAAAATTAAATCTCAGAACCTTAATCTTTCATTACCTAGCAACTTTAAGGGCCCATTAACCGATTCATGCCCGCGCTTGCATGCATTGCTAAGGAGGTGAAATTTCACTTCCGGTTACTTACGTCAGCCTGAGTGTGGAAAATAAAAATAGCTCAAAAACTTGCAAATTCGCCTACATTTAAGATGTTTTTCTTTGTTTTTCACACCATGCAAAGTTAAAAAAGTACAAGCAAAGGCAAAATAAGAGAAAGACAGAAAAACAAGAGCAATACAAAGAGAAAAAACTCCATGTGGCTTTGTTTGATCTTACTGAAGTGCACTGGTGGTGTAAATTGCGCACGCGCTGATAACTTCCCATATACATCAGGCGCACTTCCGGTTTCTTTAAATGCTAAAGGAAATGCGGTTTTACTTTAAATCCAGCCTTTTGCGACAAATTTCGATTAAGGCCGACTTTGGGAACATAGCCATGCATTCCTTTTTCGAAATCATGCTTTTTTCAGAGAATTGCGAATTTTTCAATATTTTGAAATTCTCTCAAGATCCGACCTTTTAGAAATGAAGCAAAATCTATGCATAGCATAATGAGGATTTAAATTAAAATATGAAATCAATGAAAACAATCCTGATAAAGTAATTTGCCTAGGAGCCTTTGCATTTTTTCAGTATTAGTCACATGACCATGGGCGTGGCCTGATGACGTCATCACTAGTGTTACTGATGATGAAAAAGTTATAGCTCTGAACCAACTAAAAATGATGAGGCTATATGAGAATAAAGTTTCCTTAGCAATGGCTCAAAAAGATCAGTTAATGGGCCCTTAATCCTGCCTGACCTAGTAACTATCTCCATAAATAACATAAGATAAAATAGTGTAAGTCGTGTGACCAAATCAAGGTTTACAGTTATTGTTTGTCAAAAAATATGCTGCCTTGTGTCTTGGTCTACAATTTAAGCATGAATAGCTACAGCTAAATTTTATTACAGTAACTAGGAGATTAAAATGAATGACTTAAGTCTTGTTATTTATGGATATGAAATTTCCAAGAGGTAGGGGGACCCAATTAAAAAAGTCATGGGTATTCCAGGGGATGGGGGGAGTACCGTGAAACCCCCTGGAATGGAAAATCCTGGGGGGTTGGGGTCAAACTTGAAATGAACCCTCCGTGGGAGGTATGGATATTTTCTAGAACCACACATTAAGTGTTCTAAATGTTTTATTGTATAAGGGTTATTCAAAAGAGAAATCGAAGAGAATTAGTTCATCTAAGATCCCTATTATTAATTAACATTATTTTTGCATGAAATAGCTCTGAACCAACTAAAAATGATGAGGCTATATGAGAATAAAGTTTCCTTAGCAACGGCTCGAAAAGATCAGTTAATGGGCCCTTAATCCTGTCTAACCTAGTAAATATCTCCATCCATCAATCCATCCATTTATCCATCCCATCCATCCCATCCCATCCATTCAATCCATCCCATCCATCCCATCCATCTCATCCATCCCAT